CTGCATGTCTAGCTGCGTCGGCCCTGGGCAAACCTGCTCATCTGCAAAATCAAGGTTAAGAGCAGAAGCAATAATAGTGATCATGCCACCTATGGTGATGTTGCCGGACCTAGTGGCAACATCCTCTAGGTGGTCGACTAACCAGGCCCCTACATCTAGGGTCGTACTACCCTCGCTCAAGTGTCATAGGAAGTGAAGCTCCCTAGTGAACACTACACCCGAACTATCACCTCTAGCAAACGTCGTGTTCGCTATGGTGCGCTGTGACATCCTAAAGGCGGGGTGGATTATGGTCGTAGCTTAATCAGTCCTAGGGTTGTAGTCGAAAAGGCCGGTGATCTTCCTCCAAAACTCACCCGCACAATAATTACAGGGGGCCTATCCTTTGGTCCTATGGTGCCGTCAATTGGCCACCCAAAAGCTTGGTTTACCCTCTTTATGTTCAAGTTGTGTTGGGTGTTCATGAGTTGGAAGGTAAGGCGGCGGGGGGATCTATTGTTGTCTCGTTGCACTTGAAGGGTGGAGAGGAATTCAAGTGTCAACCTTTTGTAGGTCGGGGCGCTTAAATCTAGCCAATTTCCTAAGCCACAACCCTCGAAAAGCATCCTAACATCGTCCCCTACCCCTAAAGCCTCGGCAACACTCTCGTCATAGAACTTTGTAGGTTGAACTCTCCTCCTACTTATTCTTATATAGTTGTTCAAAAATGTTGGGTCATTGAACACAATTCCCATAGTGTCTACTTGTGGTGGATCAACGGGAGGAGGAGGAGAGGGGTTGCGGTACCTAGCATCCGTGTTTCTAGGTCGATTTCTTCTAGACATGGTCGGTCTTAATGTAATGCAATCAAACAAACCAAGACAAAATAATCACCTCGCAACCACACAAAGAGACTAAGTCCACAACTCGACCAACCAAAGCTCAAACAAGGCCAATGAACACAACACAATCAAGTCAAGTTCTAAGTCTCCCACCTAAAACAAGAAAATCACCAAGCAACAAAGACTACTTCAATAATGCATCTACAACAATTCTACATCGATTTCATGCAATATTATCAAACAAACCAACACAACAATCCATCTAAACAAGCATGTTCTTCCTTCATAAAAATCAATTTTTCAACCTCACTTACAAAAAATCCAATTCTCAAAACACACCAAAATTCATTCAAACTCAAAAATGCTTTTCAATTATCAACTATCAATCACTCACAACCAATTCAAACAATATTTCTCAAGTAATTTCATGCAAAAATTTAAGGAATTAAACATGAAATTAGTGAAAGGGAGGAACGATTATACCGAGCTTATCGTGGGTGTAAAACCCGCAAATGAACCTTTCTAACCTTCCTTTTGCTTACTTGAACTTACTCCTTCAACCAATTGTCTTGAACTTTAACTCCAAAGAAAACCCCAAAATTGATTTTTCAAGGTTAGGGTTTGAGTATTTTGGGTGATTTTTGGGTTTGAATGTGAGAAAAGAAGTAGTAGATTGTGAAAATGTTGAAATGGAGTGAAGATTTTGGAGAAAATTGTTGAATTTGGGTGAGGATTTGGGTGAGAATGGAGAATTGAGTGGGTTTTGAAGGAGGAAGTAAGAATTTTAGAGAGAGGAGGAGTGAGAATCGTGAGATAGAGAGTGAAGGAGTGAATTTTTTTTTTATGTTATAACTATGCTGCTACCAGCCATTTTTGGGGCGGCATGGACGTGCAACATGTGGCACGGACGTGCAGCCTCAGACAGAAAAGTGGGTAGGGTACTGAATTATTTGGCACGGACGTGCAACATGTGGCACGGACGTGCTGAGTTGCACGGACGTGCGTAATTTAGCACGGACGTGCAGCCTCAGACATAAACTTAGGTAACATACTGACTTGTTTAGCACGGACGTGCAGGACTTAGCACGGACGTGCTTAGCCACCTTGCACGGACGTGCTTAATTTGGCACGTCCGTGCCAATCTGGAGAAATTTATTTCAAAATTTCTGATTGCTTCTGATTGCCTCTGCACGGACGTGCTATTCTATGCACGTCCGTGCAAACCTGCTGCTGCAAGTTCCTTCCCTTTTTTTTTTTTTTTTTTTGAGAATAACAGTAATAGTAAGGCATAATAATAATAAAATTATTATCATTACCATTATTATTATTATTATTATTATTATTATTATTATTATTATTATTATCTACTACTTCACTTCCACAAAAACCTTTTCTTACTTTTCTTTTCATCAACACCTACAAAAGACATTGAGAGAAAAGTTAGTAATATCAAGAGTGATGGAAATTAAATAATAGTTTGTGAAAGAGAGAGAAAGTTGAGAAACTCAGGTTGCCTCCCGGATGCGCTCTTTTAACGTCACTAGCTTGACGACATTGCGAGATCAATGAGAGTAGGGAACATCAAACTCATCAAGGTAAACAACCTTGGCTTCCTCATGCACAAAATCGTCAAAGTATGCCTTAAGCCTTTGGCCATTCACTTTGAACGGTTCACCATTGTCATTTGAGATTTCTAACGCTCCATATGGAAACACCTTCTTAACGGTGAAAGGTCCACTCCATCTTGAATTAAGCTTACCCGGAAACAACGTCAACCGGGAATTGAATAGTAGGACCTTATCACCTTCCTAAAACTCCCTTTTGCTAATATGCTTGTCATACCAAGCCTTGGCCTTTTCTTTGTAAATCCTTTTACTCTCATATGCATCCATTCTTAATTCTTCCAAGGTGTGGAGGTCAAGCAACCTCTTCTCACCGGCGCTTTGAAGGTCGAAATTCAATGTTTTGATAGCCTAATGAGCCCGATGCTCAAGTTCTACCAGCAAGTGGCATGACTTCCCATAAACAAGCTTGTATGGTGTGGTGCCAATAAGAGTTTTGAACGCGGTACGATAGGCCCATAGAGCATCATCAAGCTTTGTAGACCAATCTTTTCTAGACCTATCCATCGTTTTCTCAAGAATCATTTTTACCTCTCGGTTTGAAATTTCAGCTTGACCACTTGTTTGGGGGTGGTAAGCTAATGACGCCTTATGCCTCACACCATATTTCTCAAGGAGAGCTTGAAAGGATCGCTTTGCAAAGTGTGAACCTCCATCACTAATTACAGCCCGGGGCACTCCAAACCTTAGGAAAATTACTCTTTTGAAGAGCTTGACCACAACCTTAGCATCATTATTAGGAGATGCAACCGCTTCCACCCACTTTGATACGTAATCGACGACCACTAGAATGAACTTGTTCCCAAAAGAGCTCGGGAAAGGCCCCATAAAATCCATGCCCCATACATCAAAAATTTCAAGTTCAAGGATGTTGTTCAAAGGCATTTCATTTCTTTTTGAAATATTACCGGTTCTTTGATACCGGTCACAAGCTTTCACCACACCCCACACATCTTTGACATTGTTGGCCAAAAGAAACCGCATTGCAATATTTTCGCCAAGGTCTTGTTGGCACTCATATGTCCTCCACAAGGTGAGGATTAACACATTGTGATAACATCTTCAATTTCATTATCCGGGACACACCTTCTAAAAAGGCCATCAACACCTTGTTTGAAGAGTAAGGGGTTGTCCCAAAAGTATTGGAGAACATCATGAAGAAACTTCCTTTTTTGTTGGTAGGAGAGGTCGGGAGGAAAAATAGAGCAAGACAAGTAGTTTGCAATGTCTGCAAACCATGGTGCCGGTGCTTGGAGAATAGCAAATAGTTGATCATCCGGGAATGAATCGTCGATTGACAAGTTATCAAGATCACCTACAAGGATAGGCAACCATGAAAGATGATCGGCCACCACATTTTCGGCACCCTTCTTGTCCCTAATCTCAATGACATAGTCTTGTAAGAGCAAGAACCACCGTATCAATCTTGGCTTTGGTTCCTTCTTGGACAAGAGGTACTTCAAGGCCGCATGGTCGTTGAAGACTATGACCATAGATCCCAACAAGTATGACCTAAACTTCTCAATTGCATGAACAATGGCTAGAAACTCCTTTTCCGTGGTTGTGTAATTCCTTTGTGCATCATCCAAAGTTTTGCTAGTGTAGTAGATAGCATGGAGCTTCTTATCCGAAGCATCATACATTAGCTCAAAAGGAAGCTTCCAATTAGGGGGTTGAATGATAAGAGCCAAAATCAATGCCTCCTTTAATCTATCAAATGCTAGAAAACAATCATTAGTAAACGCAAAAGGGGCATCCTTTACCAACAGTTGAGTGAGAGGCTTTGCGATTTTTGAAAAATCCTTTATGAACCGGCGGTAAAAACCCGCGTGTCCAAGAAAGCTCCTTATCCCCTTCACATTTGTAGGGGGTGGGAGGCGCTCAATGACCTCAATTTTGGCACGATCTACTTCAATGCCCCTACTAGAAATTACATGACCAAGAACAATTCTTTCTTCTACCATGAAATGACATTTTTCCCAATTCAAAACCAAGTTCACCTCTTGACATCTTTTTAATACTTTAATCCAATTCGAAAGGCAAATGTCAAAAGATGAACTAAAAACAGAAAAGTCATCCATGAATACATCAATTGATGATTCAAGCATGTCGGAAAAAATAGACATCATACACCTTTGAAATGTGGAAGGTGCATTACAAAGTCTAAATGGCATCCTTCAATAAGCAAAGGTGCCAAAAGGGCATGTGAATGTAGTCTTCTCTTGATCCTCGGGTTGGATTAGGATTTGGAAGAATCCCGAGTATCCATCCAAGAAACAATAGTGACTATGTGATGCTAGTCTTTCCAATATTTGATCGATGAAGGGGAGTGGGAAGTGGTCTTTCCGGGTGGACTTATTCAATTTTTGATAATCAATACACATCCTCCACCCGGTGACCGACCTCGTAGAAATGGTCTCACCCTTATCATTCTTGATGATGGTCATTCCTCCTTTTTTAGGCACAAATTGAACCGGGCTAACCCACTTACTATCGAAGATAGGGTAGATTATGCCCGCTTCAAGAAGTTTTAAAACTTCTTTTTTCACAACTTCCTTCATGTTTGGATTGAGCCTTCTTTGTGCTCAATCGAGGAAGCATGATCATCATCAAGTAAAATCTTATGCATGCATATAGTAGGACTTATCCCCTTAATGTCATTAATTTTGTACCCAATGACACCTCTATACTTCCTTAAAACAACTAGGAGTTTCCCAAGAGAGGTATCATCAAGTTTAGCATTGACAATAACGGGATAACTCTCACTATCATCAAGAAAAGAATATTTAAGTAAAGGAGGAAGGGGTTTAAGTTCAACCTTGTAAAGAGGCGTAGTCCTCTCCTCTTTTACCTCCACATTAAGCACTTCCACTTTCTTTTCGTTGTGGACTAAAGGTTGGTTAAGAAAAAGATCATACCCCCTTGTTTCTTCACCTTCCTCAACTAAGCCTCCCGTTAGGATAGCTTGTAAAGGATCTCCTTCAAACAAATTCTCTTGGAACTTCTCTAAGTCCCTTTCCAATGTATCAACTCTATGAACTTCATCATACAACAGCTTTTTCAATGTTTGTGGGAATGAAAATGATATTTTCTCATCTCCCACATTCAAGGTCAATCTTCCTTGCTTCATATCAATCACAACACTCGCGGTGTTCAAAAATGGTCTTCCCAAGATTAGGGGCACCGTAGTATCTTCTTCCATTTCCATTACCACAAAATCACATGGCACAAATACTCTTCCAACTTGAACCGACACATCTTCAAGAATTCCCAAAGGTAGCCTAACCGTGCGGTCAGCCAATTGTAAGGACATTCTTGTTGGCTTCAAGTCTCCCACTTTCAAACTCTTAGCAATAGAATAGGGCATCAAACTCACACTTGCCCCAAGATCACATAAAGCATCCATAGCCTCCAAGTCTCCAATCTTCACCGGTATTTCATAGCTACCGGGGTCACCAAGCTTTTGAGGAAGCTTGTTTTGAATGATTGCACTCACCTCCTTAGGAAGGGAGATGGTTGCACTCTCTTCAAGCCTACTCTTGTTGGATAAAAGATCCATAAAAAAATTTTCATATGTAGGAATTTGTGACATAGCATGAAGAAAGGGGATATTCACTTGAAGTCCTCTCATGACTTTAAGAAAGTTTGAAAACTTTTCATTCAATTTCTTTTCAACAATCCTATGAGGGAATGGAATGGGAGGCTTTTATACTTTCATGGGGGGATTTTCTACCTTTTCCTCATCTCCCTCATTCTTACTTTGTGGCTCCTTTCTCTCAACATCAACTATCTCATTTTCAAACTCACCCTCATTTCTCACCACAACTCCCTCATCTCTCTTTTGTGGCTCCTCTTCACTCATAACCGGCCCTTCATAACCTCTCCCCGATCTCAAAGTAATGGCCTTAGCTTGCTCCTTTGGATTCACAACCGTTGAGCTTGGGAAGTGACCACTAGGATTGGAGGATGAACTTCCAACTTGTTGCGCAATTTGAGCCAATTGATTCTCAATTATCTTGTTGTGTGCTTGAAGTTGTTGGATGTTCGCTTGCATATCCGCATTGCTTCTTCCTTGTTGTGTAATGAAGGTCTCAAGTGCGGCTTCAAGGTTAGATTTTTGAGGAGGTGGAGGAGCGGGTTGGTTATATTGTTGCCTTTGTTGGTTTTGGTCCCTTTGGTTAGGGTGACGGTAATGAGCTTGTTGGGTTTGTGGATGAGATTGGTTGTATTGGTTTTGAGGGGGGCCTTGATTTTGTTATTTCCAACCCGTGTTTTGTTGGGGTTTCCAACCTTGATTGTAGGGTTGAGAGTATTGATCGTTTCTTTGCCCAATAGCCGTAGCTTGTTCTTGGTTAGTTGATTTGCAATAGGAGGACAAGTGATCATTTCCTCCACAAGTTTCACAAGACATGACTTGTTGTGAAGAAGAGCTTGGAGATGTAAGCGTGGCTTGATCTAGCATGTGAGCTAGCATGTCAAACTTTGATGCAATAAGGTCTATTGCACTAAGGTCGTGGATCCGCCCTTCTTTGCTTGAGGTTGCCGCCTATCACCTCCGTATGCATAGTGCTTTGCCACTTCTTCAATCATCTTGTATGCATCATCCACCGATAGCTTTTTAAGGCTACCACCGGCCCCGTTATCAAGGTTGGCCCTTGAAGTAGGAGTAAGACCATCATAAAAGCTTTGAACAATGATCCATGATGTGAAACCATGGTGTGGGCATTTTCTAGTGTAGTCCTTGAAACGCTCCCAAGCTTCACTTAAGGTTTCATCAATCTCTTGGTTGAAATTGGTGATTTTCCTTCTTAGTTCGGCGGTCTTTTTGGGTGGACAATACTTTCCAAGGAAAGCTCTAGTGACTTCATCCCATGTGGTCAATGATCCCTCTTCTACCGTTCTCAACCAATGCTTTGCTTTGTCACGGAGGGAGAATTGAAACATGTGCATACGGATGAACTCTTCCGTAATGTTGTTTTGCTTGATGGTTGTGCACAATTCGAGAAAGTTGTCCAAATGAGCAAAAGGACACTCATGAGAACTCCCACCAAATTGATCACTTTGTATCATACGGATGAGTTGAGGTGAAAGCTCAAAATTATTTGCATTTGTAGTAGGGAGACGTATGCCACTCCGAAGTGTGAAGGCATTGGGGTGGTCATAATCTCGTAACAATGGTGGAGGAGGATTATTATCACCCATGTTATCTTCTTCATTGGTTGCAAAGATTTCCTCCGGATCGGAATCTGAATATACAATAGAGAACTCAGGTGTGCCTTGCAAAAGCCTCCTCACGTTTCTCAAAGTCCTATTTAGCTCTGGATCAACGGGAATAAGCGGTACTCTTCCGTGTCATGCAAGGTCAAACAAAGCTAAGAAAAACGTTAGCAATGACTTTCACAAGTTGAAAACACAAATATACAAAAATAAAAAAGAAAAATTATGATACACATATACACACTTAGACTCATTTAACAATAATACATTCAATGTGACTTTGCCTCCCCGGCAACGGCGCCAAAAGTTGATAGGCCGTCGTCGAGCCTACCAAAGATAAAGTCCTATCTTGGTCTCACTAGCTAATAGAAAGGGTAAGAAAGGGTCGAACCCAAGAGAGGCGTTGAATCAACCACCGAAATACTACCGCATAAATAAACTAAATAAGGTCGAAATTGGTTTGGTTTTATGTAACAAGTGCTAGTTCAAGTCAACTAAAGCTAGGGGAGATTAACAATATTTAGAGAGTTCTAGGGCTTGGGATATACCACTCAAATTCGTCACAATTAGCAAGTAGCAAACAATGGTAATTTTAGGGGATAATATAGGGGAAGTCATCTAAAGCATCCAACTACTCTCTCAAGCTAGAGGGATTACTCGAATTATGAATACAACCTACTCTCGTGGTTACAAAGCATAAAACAAGTATTAAAGCATAATCACGATGACAAAAACATTCCCTTGACTAGAAATTCCTATTCTCATGGCATTTCAAGTCAATTAAGCATAAGGGAGCTACTCAAGTTCATCTCTCGATCCTTCGTTGAGAAAGCTTAGATAATAGTTCTAGCAATGGCCATATACAAGAACTAAGAAATTAAGCCACTTAAGCTCAACTAATTAACACCCAACAATTACCAAATTAACACATGCAACAAGTAATTAGTGACTACATTGAGGGTTTTACCCAAACCCTAGAAAATTAGACTACTCACAATCCATGGAGATTAAAGCAATTAAGGATTTCAAGTAACTCATGAACAAGAATTAACTAAAGATTAAGCTAAATAACAATCTAAGCATACAATAATTAAGTAAGATAATTAACAATCAAAGCAATTAAAATGGAAGAGAAGAGTGAGAAAATGTTACTAGAAGCTTCAACTTGAATATCAATGGTGGAACTTGTCTTCTACAATGATTGAGAATGAAATTTCCAAGCTAATAATTATAATCTAACTAATGATTTGAGAAAATTTGTGTTTCTACAATTACAAACTAAGAGGAAGCACTAAAAACTTAGATGCCGTACAAATAAGCTCTAGGGGTTATTTATAAAGACCCCCAAATAAAAAGAACGGAGAAAACAAGAGTCGGGCACGGCTACAGGTCAGCACGGACGTGCTGAGGTTGGCACGGACGTGCACCTGGGAGGTAGAAGGTATTGTTTTGGCCAGGGCATCCTGCACGGACGTGCCAAATATGGCACGGACGTGCTGAGCTCTGCACAGACGTGCAGGCCTTGAAAACAGTAGGCAGTAGCTTCTGGTCGTGCTGGAACACTTCTGCACGGACGTGCCATACTTTGCACGTCCGTGCATACTCTCTAAGGCCTTTATCTTCACTTTTCTTCGGTTTTTCTCCATTGTTTCGGCTTCTAACCTCGGTTTATCATCCAAATGCCTCAAATGGTCGTCTTTGAACCTAAAAACCCAACAAAAACACTAACAACCCGTGAAGCAAGGGATACACAAAAGTTGAACAAAACTAGAGTAAAAGTGAACCAAAATGCTAATATACCAAGTAAACAAGGTTCGAAATCACTCTAAAATTGTATCAAATAACAAGTTGTCAGCTAGCAAGGCTTCATATTTGGCCTCATTGTTAGAGACCTGAAACTTGAACCGTAATGCATATTTGTACTTATCTCCCTCAGGAGATTAACAGATAATCCTTGCACCACAGATGTTCGTAGTGGAGCTCCCGTCCACATACACTTTTGAAACCTGGCTAGTATTGTCCGGTGCAACCGGCCTTGTCATTTCAACAATAAAGTCGGCGAATGCTTGCCCCTTTATTGCCTTCCTTGTTCGTAAGTGATTTCCAATCCTTGCATTTCAATCGCCCACTTGAGCATTCGTCTAGAAGACTCCAAGGTTGTGAGGGGCCGCTTGATCGGTTATTCAGTATAGACTACTACCGCATGCGCCAAGAAGTAAGGTTTTAGCTTCTTGATGGCCATGTAAAGGGCAAGGCCAAAATTTTCAACCATGGGGTACCGAAGCTCTTCGTTCCTAAGAACATGGCTAATGAAATACACTAGGAGCTGGATGCCGTCTCTTTCAGCTAAGAGAACGACACTGAGGGTATGATCGGAGACGGCCAGATAAATGAAGAGCTTCTCTTTGGGCAAAGGGCTAACAAGCCTCGGCAAAGAGTGCAAATGAGTTTTTAACTTTTGAAAGGCCGCCTCTACATCATCCCACCATTCAAAGTTGGTCTTCTTCTTGATTTCTTGGAAGAAGTAGAGACACTTGTCACCTGACCGACTGAGGAATCTCCCCAAGGCCGCCAGACAACCTGTTAACTTTTGCACTTCGTTCACAGTATGGGGCGACTGCATGTCGATTACCGCCTGTATTTTTTCAGGGTTAGCCTCTATTCCCTTTTGTTCGATCAAAAATCCGAGAAACTTCCCAGACTCAACACCAAAGACACACTTTTTTGGGTTCAGCATGACCTTGTGCCACCTGAGTGTGGCGAATGTTTCTCGGAGATCAGCAAGATGATCCGCCTGTTGTTTGGATTTGACTATCATGTCTTTAATGTACGCCTCTACATTCCTTCCGATTTGATTAATGAAGACCGTATTAATCATTCGTTGGAAAGAAGCATGGGCATTCTTCAAACCAAATGACATCACTGTATAACAGAAAAACCTCTAATCAGTGACGAATGCCGTCTTTTCTTGATCTTTTTTCCACAGGGGGATCTTGTGGAAACCTGAATAGGAGTCCATAAAACTCACCAGGGCATGTCCGGCTGTAGAATCGACCAGACTATCGATCTAAGGCAGTGGATAGCTATCCTTTAGACATGCCTTGTTGAGGTCTATTTAACCAACACACATGCGCCAAGTTCCATTCGGCTTCTCTACTAACACAATGTTAGCTACCCACTCAGGGAAATTGCATGGCCGAATGAACTTGGCGTCCAACAGCTTTTTTACTTCGGCGGCTGCCACCTGACTTCTTTCCTCGCCGTGGTTTCTCTTCTTTTGCCGAATGGGATTCTTTTTGGGGTCCACGGTGACTTTGTGGACAGCGAGATTCGGGCTGTTGCCTGGCATCTCTTCCACTTCAAAGGAAAAAATTTCTTGAATTCTCTCATCAGCTGGTCCAGGCTCTCACCCAG